TGAACTGGACTTTTTTTTTTTTCCTATTTAAGTGTTAAATTTGGAAGCAAACTATGGGAATGACATCCCCAATGGCTTCAATGTTGCTAAGACAGAGTCAAAAGCTTGAAAATCTGCTTGGAAATGCTTTCTTTATGATTCCTGTGTCCGCCCTGGCTGGAAAACAATCCCTCTACACACAAGATTTATTAACCTTGGCTGATCTTGTGGCCATTTTCCATCCCTTTTCCTTTAGTCTTTGTATTTTTATAACCACTAAGTACTATTTTAATCTTACAGTTCTTTATGACATTAGATATTTTCCCAGTGATTCATAACCACTGACAGATTCTCTAGTTTCCTTTTTAATAAGTATCTGTGTTTTCTCATTCTATTAATTTGTTGAGATCCCCTCTAAGTGCCCATCCTTCATCTGAACCTTTCACGAGTATGATTGGAACTTTTTTTCATAGGAACTGGAGAATCTTGGGGTTTCTGTTTCTAACAAGTTGGCTAGAATATTGTTGAATGGAGCTTTACGTACCATAAATAACAGACAAGGAAGTAATTGTAACTTATCTTATTGCTGCAAAAATTATGATGGGTGGTTGGTATTTTACTATCACTGCAACACTAATTATAAAAATCTCAGAAGGAAAAAAATCACTTGCAAGAAACTATAGCATACTTTGCCAAGTGTACCACCTTTCCTACCATACACTGGGTGTTCCCAAATTAGCACACATCAGGATCAACAGGGTAGCTTGATTATACTTGATTATTCTACCATCCAGGAACTCTGATTTGGAGGTCTGGGGGAGTCACCTACAGACATGCAACAGAATGATGTCACAGAGAGTAGCTGAGGGGAGACTAGCAGAAGGAGGGCTGCTAATTTATGACCATGTGCAGTTGAGTTACACTGAGACCTGGGTAACACAAAGGCCAGGTTCCATGAAGAACATTCCAAGTAGAAAGAGCAGCAAGAGCACGTGCCTCATGTGTTTGTGAAGGAGACAGGGAAACAGTGTGACAGAAGAATTGGAGAGTGTCCAGATCAAGAATCCTTTCAGGACCATTGTAAGGAGTTTGTTTCTCTTCTGTTTCGCTATAATTGCACGGTGTCATGATCTCATTTCTTTTAAAGAGATTGCTTGGACTACTGTGAGTTGCGTGACATGGTATAAGCCAACTGAAGACTGTGGGGTCTTGTTGAGAGCTGATGGTGGAGAGCGTGTCTAAGTTGGAAGGGAAGGGTGAGTCAGTATCAGTTGGCCAAGTGAAGGGGGTGAAACTGAGAGAAGTTGAATGATAGGCTGCAGGGAAAGATGGCCTCCAGGTGACATGGATTCCAGGATATGGTAAAAGTGGTGGATGTAAACATCAGCTAGGATGGGCTGAAGGATGCTGACATCTTTTGAATGGACTACCTTGTTCTAGTCATACTCATTTTCTAAATGTTTCCATACTTGCTCTGCTTTGTCCAAGAGAATCTAGAATGTGGACTTTTGTCTCTTTATTTCAAATGTTTGCAAACTAGTTTTAAAAATAACAAACTATTTTTTCCCCCAGTGCTAACTAAAGAAAAGATGTTTGTGGACTGACTTTGGCTTGTGACATCCATTGAATGGTCTTCGAGCAGCGAATTTGTACAAGTGATGCCTTTGTGTAAATTAGGGAAGTCCCCTCCTTGCCCGGATTCCACCATCTTAAGGAAAGCTGCCCCTTTATACACACATATCAATGATGATGGCATGAACATGGCACTGTTAGAGTTGTGCACCCCAGTGTGATACTAGTTAGTGACTTTATCTTGGAAGGAGAATACAAAGTGGGAATAAAAGGAAATAGACGAGGGCAGTGTGTGCTGGAGCCATCTTGTACGGGATTGTCAGAGCTGACTGTGTACATCTTCCAATTCTGTATTCATTAATGTCACCCTGGCAACTTGAAATCAGCGATGGTGAGTATTTACACCAGGTAAGTGGCACAGGCTATGAAACAAGGTTCTATCCTTCCAGGGAGTTGGCTGTTAAATGACTATCCACCACTGGATAAGATCATGTCATGGAAGCCTTGAAAAACATTTAGAATTTAGATTTGGATTTTTGACAGTAGGCAAAAGAGATGAGAGATACTAATCAGGATTCTTCGCTCTACATCTTTTCTGGCCTCTTCATTCAAATGACCTTCTGCTTCTGACATAATTAAAATTCTGTTTTCCTTTGAAGGGATGACTCCTTTGCTTTCTCCTGGAGTGGAGACTGCACACATCCTCTCTCATCCACATCCAGTCACAGAGGAAAGAAGGGAGTAGCATACATTTGTCTGCTTTTGCCTCTTTCCATCTTTACTCTTCTGCTCTTCACTAATCCCATCTCTCCTGACAGTCACGGTTATTGCTCAGACATCCTTCACCTGAACACTGAGTCAAGTTGCTGCTGATTTACCCAAAAGAAAGCTTTGGTGCTTCCTTCCCAGATGTCCCATCTATTCCAAGGCTCTTCAGTCTCCTGGGAGACTGTCTGCTCCTGTGGGTGACCCACTAAGCATCCTAATCTCACGATCTTGTAACTTCACCAGTGTCAGGGCCGTTTTGTCACTGTTCCACTTCAGAGCCATGTACCCACAGCCTCAGTGTGAAGCCAACTTAGGAACTGCTGAACCTATGAAATGTGGTTACGATGACACTTTTTTCTAGGTGACAAGTAAGGTTTCTAGGTTTCAGTAAGGCTGGCAGTGACATGATGCATGGAAGGCACAGTAAACGCCTGGCATAGAAACACAATTCTGAAATCCTGGTACTTCTTCCCTCTTTAGTTTGAAGTATCATTTGAATTTGATACAAATGGCTAATGTTTAGGTAGTAAACTTTCTGCTAGGTGACATCGTTAGGAATCTTTGTTCTTTCTAGCACTCGGGAGCTGCGGGCATCCAGTATTATTGGTGCCAATTGTGCTAACATGCACAACACAATACCCACCCTTTTAATTACAGAACATTCTTGCAGTAAAGTGACACTGATTCTCATCTGATTAATATTTATAGTTTTCACTTTTGGCTAAATGCCAGCTATCTTCATCATGTGAATTTCCTCGGCTCCCCGCTCCCCTTTGCTGTTCCTCTTCTGTTAGCTTATTTGTGTTGGCTTATATCTTTGTTTTACTCAGTCAAGGGTGTTGTGGATTTCTCAAATCACAAGCTTTCCACCCATGATTTTTATATCTAATTGTAAGTGAGCAACAATGAATTTCATGTGACTTTTAAGACAAACACTTGAACACTTTCATTTGAGGGGGTGCAGGGAAGGGTCACCATTGACCTTGACTTTGATCCTTAGTCAACTCTTGGCTCCCTAGTTAGTAAATTAAAGGTGTATTATATACCTCTCATCCATGCCCTAAAAACTCCATTTGCTCCTCTTGGAATCCTAAAGCCTATATTCTGACATATGAACCATATTTTGAGCAGTTACTGCAAAGGAATTTTTAATTTCATCCACAAACATTGCAAGCGTGGGAATGTGTTGACCATAGTAACGTTATGATGCACTACTTGTTATATGTGATCATTTCAAAATATGCAAGCTCAGGTGTGCCAGAGGTGAAATTATTTTTCCTGAAGCAGGAAGACCACACACACCAAGGATTCTATCTTAAAAATCGCTTTCTCTTCCATTGCATGACCAATGCCACTGAACTAGTTTTGTCCTCATTATTTTACGTTTGGGCAATTTCAATAACATGTTAACTGCTCCCTTTCCCTTCTTCCCATCCAAACTCAACTTCTCGTGTCTAATAACATCCAGCAACAGACATAGCACTGGTTTCCAAATGGTGTCGGGGTGCACCAGCGTTCCCACAATTGTCTGGATGAATGAGGTTGTGGGCAGGGAACTGAGTGTCAGGCTCCATCTCTACTTCAACTCGGCAATACTTCTCTGATCAATTTTACTGTATTTGGGTTTTTTTGCAAGATTCTGTTTAGAGTAAGTGTTCTGCTGCTGAAAAGCTATTGGTCCTCTAGACAAAGTCCACATTCTTGGCATGATATTCAAATTCCTTCTCCATATGCCTCCATACCAACATCCTATCTTTCTTCTGTATATTATTTCGCTCACAAAAAAATCGCTTACTCATCATTCTTTAAACATATATGCTCTGAAGCCTTTGTTCATACTGCCTCTCTTTATCTGGAATATCTTCCTTCTGGGTCTACTTGGAAAATAGGTAATTCATTCATTTAATGACTATTTGTTGAGCATCTACTATCTGCCATTCCCTGTTTTATTGGGCTGAGGACTTACACTGATTCTTCAGCACCCAGTTTATAGCATCTTTGTGGCACTAGCCAGGCAAAATTACCTGATGCTTCTTCTATACTTTCATTATACTTGGTCATGCTGATTTAATAGCAAATTATATTATGCCCCAATTTAAGGAACAATCCACATCTTATTAATGAATATATATTTTTCTCTTACAGTAGATGCTGGTTAGGTGCTCAGAAAAGATTGATTGGGTAAATAAATAAAAAAAATTATTTACACCTACCCAACAATGAGCTCCATAAGGCTGGGGGTCGTTGTCCCATTTACCTGGCAGATGATAGCTGGAAAATGATTATTTGTTGAATGGATGAAGAGTTATTTCTGACCTTGTCCACACACAGAATGGTTGGGGTCACGCTCATCCCTCTTCTTTCCGTATATTTAGAAGTACTTTGTGAACTGCAGAGCATGCCTTTTCAGGTCTCTCAACTTTAATTTATGAAAGTCACTATTGATCTTTTGTGCAAGTTCAATACTTGTTCTTCCCCCCTTATCTTTATGCCAAAGCACATGGATATCTGGATAGGTGACTTTTTTTCTCTTGCATGTATTTCTATGCAATGACAGGTTAGAGGGATTTTTATTTACTTCATGGTAACAACAAATTTTAGAAATTGCATTTTAGCCATAAAATTAGTCTTAATTATGATGTACTTAAAAATCATAAAAGTATGGGAGAAATCTTATTCGACATCGTGGAACTTTATTTGGAGAAGACACGTAGTACCATCAATATCACAAATTTACATTTGGTGTAACATTAAGGTTTTTTGTTAAAGACAAGAAAAATGACTGGAGCAAAAGGCAAAAAGTTAGAAAGGAAATGAACAATTTAATAATTTCTTTAACATGAAGTGTCACTTTGAAAAGAGATCAATTTCTGTGTCTTCAAAAAGCAGACCTGTAAGAAATGGGCTTGAATTACTAAGTTAGCTCAAGAAAGGTTGTTGGTTCTCAAGGGTTGCCAGACCCTGGAATGAGACTAAAAGGGGCTTTCTTTAAACTTTAAAAACAAATTGGGGGCCTCCGCGGTGGCACAGCGGTTGAGCACTGGGTTGTGAAGCTGCCCGCAGCCTCTGCAGTGCCGGTTCGATCCCCGGCTGCTCCCTGGCCACCGGAGGAGGGTCCCACATGGCGCGCAGACCTCTCCTGCCACCCGCTGCTCCCCTCAGCAGTGTACTTTGTCAGTCTGCCTGTTCTGCTCCCCGCTCTGGCTCTGGTGAATTCTCTCACCCTGCCGTGCTTCTGACTGTACCCAGGGCCTGTATAAACAAACAAACAAACAAACAAATAAATAAAACATGCCTCTTAAAAAAAAAAAACCAAAAACCACAAATTGGGATTTTACCTGGCTGGAAATGTTTCAGGTATTAGGGCTTCTGTGGGCGTCCAGCCTGGGACTCAGTGATTTTGACTTTGCTGCTTCTGCTGCAGAGGACTGTCTAGCCCAGAAAGAAATTAAAAAATATATATTACCAGTTGTGATTAAAACCTAACACCTCCTTGGGTCTGCGTCTATGGGAAGCTGGTGTAGGGGTTAACTGATCCTGCTTTGTTTAGGGCCAGGGAATCCCAGCACAAAAGTGCCTGGCCTTTGTTGCTGCAGCGAGCATCCTTGACCAGCTGGGGGTGGGGTGGACATGGGGAACCACAGGGGGCAGATTTTCCTGGAAAGTTTCTAAACCACAGAGCGTGACTTTGGATTCAAAGTGTCCCGAAGTGGTCGCTGTCCCAGACTGCGGCCTAGCTCTGCCCCCTGCCGTCGACCGCGTCACGCATTGCACCTTGCACTCAAAGTGTGAGCAAGAGGAGGTCGCTGGAAGGGGAATTTCAGAATTTCTGGCAACTTTTAACCTCCAGAATTCTTCTCCGGTGGAAAAATCAAAACCCTCTCCCAAGAGTAGGTTCCCCTCAAACACTGAGTCCTTGTCTTCTCGGTGTGGGGTGGCAGCGCAGCAAGTCAGAGGAGAGGTGTGCCAATCCTCCAGGACTTGGGTGGCAGGAGCTGGGGCGTTCTACCCCCGAGGCTGCCCCCATTGTGGTTGCCCAGCGACGGCGGGCGTCGCGGCGCCCCGGGGCACCCGCCCGGCCAGGCCAGCTCCTCCGGAGGCGGCTGCGCTCTGCGCGCAGGGAGCACGGCCCATGCAGGTGCAGGTAGACGCCAGGACCGCGGTTCTTGCGCGCTGGGTGGGATGGCGGGGCTGGGTCTTTTGCTGTGTGCAGCTTTCGGGGATGCCAGTCGCCGCGGCGCATGGGGGGCGGCTCGGGCGCGGGTGCACAGCCCCAGGGAAAGCGCCGGGCGGCGGCGCCCCGGCGGTGGTCGCGCGCCCCGCGGGCCCCGGGGAGCCTCTCCGGCTGCGGGCGGTGCAGGAGCGCCCCGCCCCCGCCGCCCAGGCCCGGACCGAGACGCACACGCTCCTTAATCCCCCGCCCCCCCGTTGCCCCGGCGACGGCCCAGACGAGCAGGTGATGCATTGACAGCGAGCAGATGGTCCCCCGCGGAGGCGAGCGCGGCCCACAATGCGCCCCGCGCGGCGATCCCACTGCCGCCCCCCGCGCCCGGCCGGCCTCCGCGGCCCGAATGCTAATACGCGAGGTCGAGGGGAGCTGGGGTGCTGCGGGGCGGGGCCACGGGGGCAGCGGAGGGCACGCCCCGCCTGGCTCTCAGTCCAGCTCACCTCATTTTGCTGAATAGCCTCCCCAAATCCCCAGAAGAGCTCCTGTCTTTAAATACCCGGAGAGGAGACACACTCTGAGCACCCAGCCCCGGCCTGGTTCGCTGCAACTTGCTCCTAATTCTCCCCAAGTGGTTAATTTCCATTGAGATAAACGCTTCACCCCCTCCGCTTGCGCCCCTGAGCCCCATTCTGCAGTCCCGACCCACATCTGCTCCCTGCTGGCATTCAGGCTTCAGTCTTGGAAGACCGGAGGAATGGATTTACCACCCGACGCCACCCCCACCCGGTCGGGGCCGGCTTCCAGAGTTGGCGCTGACACTTGCTAAAGTGTGGAGACATGTTATTTATCTCACACGCCCCCTCCCAGGGCTCCCCCTCCCACCCAAGCTTCAGGGTCTTTTCGATAGCTTCCCTTGGCCTTTCTTGCTGGAATTTCAAAAATAAATCACTCTTCTCCTGTGACTGCCTTGCTACCCCCTCCCGGGAAACCTTCCATTCACATACCCCCCCCCCCCATTCATTTGACACCCCTCCCTCTTACCCTATTCACCGCTGTGTGGCAAATTGAGGCGATCTTATAGTAAGGGCATGAAAACTGCTAAGCACTATTCACAATTTTAATACTAACTTCATAGCTGTCACATAAATTCATTCCCAAGCCTAGTCTATAATGGCCAAGCAGGAACTTTAAGGGAAGGGAAAAAAAAAAACAAAAACAAAACAAAACTGAAGACACTACTATGGTGTCTTTCTTTGATTTGCAGGTGTTTTTTGAAACCATTACTACAGTAACTGCAGATAGCTTTTTCTAGCTGCCACATAGAGTGCTTAAAAAAATCCATCCTCCTTTTTATTTTACAGTAGATAAAAAGTGCTAATAAAGGCATTTAAAAAATGGAATGGAGAGAGAAAGAAAAGGAGACTAGTGAATAAAGTTGGGACAATATGGGGTCACAGAGCTGTCGCAGCTAATGTCATAGAGCGGCTGTTGGGCAGGAGTACAGAAAACTTCTTGTTTCTTGATTTTTATGGAGATTTGGTGCAAGGCATGGAGCTCTCTCTGAACAGGTTTAGAACAAGTGGCAAAGAAAGAAATCTTCACAATGAACTCCCTTCTGATGGGCTTTCTGCCCACAGACACCTGTGATTTACAAAGAGGCATGGCAGAGGACAAAGCGGGTGGAGAGGGCCAGGCTATTGTGGGGAAATGATGCCTCTGTGCCCAGGGCACTGGCAGAGGCTTGTTTTATTTTGGAACTTGTTTCGGAGCCTTGCTATGCAGATGTACAATGAGAGAAGGTGCATTCGACTCTTCTGGTGGTTCGTAATGCCATTTTCAAATGCTCCTATCTCATCTGAGTCTTCCTTTTGATAAGTGCTCAAACTAGAGAATATTGTAATCACCAGAATGCAGGGATAAGTGACTTACATAAATCTGGAAGGCAGGGGAGTTAGAAATCATTACCTAAGACTTAGACAGCAGTGGCTAGAATGTTCACTTGAGGGGGCGTACAACGCTTACAGTTATTTAAAATTTTAGGATTTTTTTTCCCCCAGGAAGGGTAAACATGTATGCTTATTTCCTTTCTATATCTTGCCTTATTCTCCTTTATCTCTTGAAGTTTGTTTTTGTCTATCTCTTTTGGCTTTTGCTTTTCCCCCGTTCTTTGTAGCTTCTTTCCCAACAATTTTAGGTGACAAGCAAGTATATAAAAACAGAAGGAAGTACAATAAAGAATTGCAAGTTGTGGGGGGATGTCATTTGGATATAATGGCCAGGGGAAAACTATTGAAGTAGATCACAATTTACCGGGACCAAATGAAAGCAAGTGAAGGAACAGAAGGAAGAGCAGGGCAGAACAGTGCCAGAGATGTGCCAAGGAAGAGTTTCAAGTCTCCTGAGTCACCAGAGGGGATATGGCTGGGACGCTGTGAGTTTAGGTGTAGAGCCCAGGCAGGCCCGGTCATGGACAGCTGTGGCAGGCATAGGAAAAGGGTAGATTTTAATCATAGGGACTAGGGATTTGAAGTGATAGCATTGGAACTGGCTAGGGAGCTGTGATAATAATCTAGATTCGAAGCAGTGGGGCTCCTGGGTTAAGATTATGTTAATGGAAACAAAGACAATGGATGTGGCTGGGAGCTACTTTAGAGAAAGAACAATGATACTTGAATGTGAGCTGATGAGAAAGGAGAGACCATCAAAGTGTGTAGATCTCAATGACTTGACAGGGAGTGGGGAAGAGATCAGAACTGGAAAGCAGTCTTGGAAAAAGGTGTGAAGCAAGAATTCTGTTTCAGCATGCTAATTTCAAAAGGTTACTGTGGAGACCAAACGAAATGGTGGGCTTAGGGGAAGAAATGGACTGACCCAGCCCCTAGAGATTCCCTAGGTGTCTTGGGATCTGTGATGTGGCTTAGCAGGAAGGAGTGAGCTAGGCAGTAAGATTCCCCACCTCCTTAATCTGAACTGGAAAACCTGAGGCAACCTCATAGTTAATATTAGAGGAGTTCACAAGTCTGGAGAAATAACCATTGCTAAGCTGGAGAACTAACCATGTAAGTAAGGATCATGGTCAAATGGATGACGCTAATAAGTAGAAGCTATGAAACCTAGTGGAGGGGAGGAAATGATTTGTTGGAGGGAGGAGAAAGTGACAGAGAGAAGTAAGTTTATGTAGAGAAGCTGTACCATGCGACTGGAGAGGAATATTTGCATAAAGGTCTACAAAGGCATGCAGTTGACATCTTTAGTTGCTTTCGAGTCTGATCGAATCTCTTATTACAGACTATGAAACCATGCGATGGCATGCAAATTGCTGCAAAGTCTATGTAAGAAAAAAGATAAACCACAAACACATGACATTGAGAACGAGACAAGGTCTCTAATAGGTTAGGGGTTGTGTTTGGGAAGTAAATAATACCTTCTCCTTCAACCTCCTGCTTCATAGACTGAAGACCTATTGAATCAATGTATCAACTATATTAATGTAGGGCAAGCCCCTCTCTGTGTAAAGGACTTCCAGTAAAGGTGAATTGGGGCTTGACACTTGACTTTCAAGTCAAATGGATTTCCCTCTTTGTCCATTCTGAATTGACTGAGATAGCATGAAAGTCACAGCAAAAAAGCGGACATTTAACATGGTAACTGAAAGGCCTCTGTGCCAAGGTCTGTGAGGTGGCTTCCCTTGTAGAAACCAGGAGCGCAGACACCCTGCAGTGTCTGGGTAGAGGGAGGCAGAAGAGGAAGCAAGATAAAAACAGAGTGAGAGTTCTACCCTTCTTACTTTTTCAGTGGTCTAATTCCTGGAAAATTTAACTCAATAGATTTAAGCCATTCTCCAATGTCACTATTATCTCTTGAGGGGAGGAGTAGGTGTTTGTTTTTGTATTTTCTTCTGAGGAGTAAGGTGGAAGCTACTTACTTACAATGCTAAGAAATGGAATGGATAAGCTATGGTCTCCTCTTGAGAGAGAGATTTAGGATATAGAAACCACTGTGCAGAATTTTGTGATGATACACTTTAAAGTCTCAAAAAATTATATCAATGGACAAAAATAATTGGAGTTAACTCAGGGAGACATGGAAGACTGTATGTATAATAGTCATGACAAAGATGAAAAATATTTTCAAATAATTAACTCCAAATGATGCTTAGAGCCTAGACAGCTTTATAAGTGAGTTCTCTTAATCTTAAAGAAATGGAAGAGCTATAGGGTATGAAAACTAATGACCATTTACTAACTCATATGGTAGCCAAACTGGACAAAGGTGGTATAATTAAAGACAGTCAACAAACTATTTTATTTGTAAATAGGGTTCTAATTGTCCTGAAGAGCCCATAAACACATTGAATTCATCAGGGCACATAAAATATACCAAGTAATAATACTGTGCATTATTTCAGGATAGCTTAATACTAGGAATTCTAGTAAATATGTCACATTATGAAATGTATCACAATAGTAAGATAAGCAAGCAAAATCACATAAGAGTGCTAAAAAAAGGATTTGATAATATACAAGTATGCCTTATAAAAGCTTTATAAATTATAAGCAGATATATCCTTATTTAATATAGTAAAGAGTCTATCATAATTACCTTACTTAAAAAAACTAGAGGACTTATAAATTACAGCTAAGACAAGGATAACTACAATGTCACTATTATTTTAACATATTCTGAAAATTTTAGGAAATTAAATAAGACATACAGAAACAAGTGGTGTAACCAGTTGAAAAGAAGAAAAGTAAAAGATCACTAATTGCAAATAACATATTGCTCACCAATACAATGTGAAAAAAAAATCAATGAAGAAATGACCACCTTAAATAAGCCTTGATCAGATGCCAAATATAAATGTAAAATTTAGTAATTAAAAATATTAAGAAAGTTAGAAAATATAATTTGTTTTTTGTTTGTAAGGGAATTGCAGACTAATTATCCTATATGTCTATCTAAACAAGAAAACAAAT